AATATATCACGTGTTTGGAACACCACAAACGCAACAACCAGCTGATCCGAGCAAAGTTGGCCAAGGCCTAAACAATCACACAGATAACTACACAAAAATAAAATCAATTCAATTCAATTAAAAAGGAAAGAACAAATAAATACCTGTAGATATATACAGACTATTGGATGTTTAAATCCGAAAATATGTGTCAGTCAATTTTTCTCTGTTCGCAGGATAGCAAACAAACAAACAAAGGGATCTAAAGGTGTAAAGTATGTGTATTTGCAGCATAACACATTATCAGTTCAAAGTTGTCTTGAGTGAGTCAGTGCATCAAGGACTGTAGTGCCATCTAAATGTAAAGCAGAGACTCTGCATTTACCTTATCACACTTTGCTACAAGTGCTATTTACATGCTTCAAGAATCACTATTTAAACATGCTCAAGCTTTTAAAACTGTAATAATTAAGTGTAAATATTTTTTTCTCAAGTGACGTGGTGTTGACATTTTGACGTCTGTGAGACCTCTCAGCCTTTTTTCTCTTTCTGAATGCGTGCGGTTGGTACTATCTTTAGCCGTGGATGTATACAGCTCACAATGTGGTGCTACACTCCAAGGCTCTAATTACCTTTAAACACCCTACAACAAAAGAACATGCTGGTGGTGCAAAATTGTGAATCTCTGACGTACTGTTCGTGCTCAGTTTCAAAGGAGTGCTTCCCACCAAGAGAGAGGGGGAGAGAGAGGAAAAGAGAGTTAATCAAATTGAGAGGGAGGTAGTGCGAAATAGAGAGGCAGAGAGAGTGTGAGAGGGAGAGAGAGGGAGATATATTTTGAGAGGCCTTTTCAAGTGGCCATTTCATCTGTGCTAATTGATAATTCTCCATGACTAACGTGCCACTGACTGGCCTTTGAGCCACGCTAGCTGGAAAATGGTATTGTATGGTGATTTCTAAAGGATCTCGGAGAGCCAGAGACAGGAAGGGGAGAGTGATAAGCTCAGCTGGACGTACATAAATTCAAGCTTGTGAGTCACTTACACCAAAGGGATGTATGTCAATAATTTCATTGGGATAATAGTTAACAAAAGGGGGGAGCGTTAAAAAGAGCATATTTAGCTCTTCGTTGAAGATTATACTTCTGCTTTACACTGACAAATATGTATGGAAACCTGAAGAGTACAGTGTGATTGCTGATCATGTCATTCAAGACATTTCTGGGCACTGGCCTCTGCTTTTCACCACAGCCTGCCTGATGGGATCGGTGTTGTATTTCATCCCAAGTTCTTGCAGACCAATGTGAGAAATTATGACTTCATCGACCTCGGTTAGCACTCATGGGCACTGTCGCGTTATACGACATTTCACTTTACATTTATCACAAACTTTTACTGCTCTACAGTAAAACGGTGCTGCCCAACCTTATTGGCTTGTGACCCTTCAAACCTAAAATCAAGGCTATCCTCAGAGTGCACCTGTTTAGCTGTTTTGGCCCTTTTCTGTAATGATGTCCTTTCAGTCCCAAGGTTGGTAATTGCTGGTCAGTCTGACTAAAAGTCAGTAACCCAAACTATAAAAATCAGTCTCAGGCCCGAATTTCACCAAAGTAAAGTGTTCACACATTTTGGCCAAAGTCCATTAATTTAAACTCATGAGCAGTTTGTGCTTAAATCTTTCTTGGCTGGATGTGTCTGTTTTCATGGAGGGTAATAACTAAAAAGGGCAACAGTGTAAAAATACATTTGACATTTTAAAAGAGAGTTTTTCTGCATAGTACCACATAACCTGACTGTGCAGCTCTCTTCACTACAGTCATGCACAGGCTTCTGTGGAGCTGACTGTCAAATCATTAAAGCCACATGCCTCACATTTCCTTATCTGCGAAAGACAGAAGGAACAGATGAAACATTTTCGATTGTTTTCTTGGAAGGATAACTTGCTAAGCTGTTTTATTTTTTGCTTTCGAGTTTCTTCAAGAGTCAAATTGTGAAACGACACTGTTGACTTCACCAGGCCTTTACCATCTAAAAATATGTTCCCAAATTTGGCTGCTGTAAGCACATTTCACTTATATTGCAATGTTTCCACTGGTGATTCATTTGGTATAGGATTAATGAAAAAAGTGTTTAAAAAGTTTTATTTCAACTGAAACCTGATATTGTGCAACACTACTGACAATGTCTAAAGTGGCAAACAAAGATGTAAAACACATGGCCATAATGACACCAACTGTGGTGGGGCCTTTACAGCTGTATCTCTTTTATTGTTTTCTTTCTCTCATATATTCTCTAGTATGTGGAAATGGGATGTCAATGTGAAATTGATGGTTATTGAAGTCATTACCTTCTGTCTTACAGGTTATTCAGTGCAATCTTGGAGCAGGCCACAAAAGGGGACGGGGCTACTCCTATTGGAGGGAAAGCGGCGGGCTTTGATGTCAAGGCTCTGAGGGCATTCAGAGTACTCAGACCCCTCAGACTGGTCTCTGGAGTACCGAGTAAGTACTGAGAGCTATGAAAGTAAAAAAGAAGAATGAAAGAGAGAAAAGCAGGAGCACAAATGGTGCTCTGGGGATCAGGTGTGAATGGTGATTGGGTGTTGTGGGGGGTGGAATGGACCAGAGATTGAAGCTTGCATTGGTGCTTGACGCCACACATGATGACACACATATACTCACACCCAGTCTTCTTCTTGTCAGAAACGCAGAGGCTTTCAGAGCTGGACGATTTATATGCGTACTTGTCTGTGAAGACACTCTTAATGAAAATAGTGTGCTTCCACCTTTATGTGCATTACACTTGCAGACAAATGCAGAGGATGCAAGTGCACAGCTATCACTTTGTCATTTGGTGTAAAAGTGCTGAGTGCCGTTGTGCGCCACGCTGTCCAACATCACTGGGCTGTCATGGCAGTCATGGCAACTGATGAACAGCGTGTTTGCCAGCTGACTTGCGCACAGATGGCATCCAGTTGCTTATGTGCTGTGGAATTTATTATCTTTTTATTAAAGGCTGATCATTAAAGGAAGAAAAACATGAGGTTGTACAATCTAGACAACTTAGCCATGCCAGTTATTCACAACTGACAAGTGGGAAAACTGCTGTTCCAGAAAATATCAAGTGTTCCTCACTCCATGACACCACACTGATTTTTTTAAAAAGTTCAAAAGAGTAACTGATTAAATTAATACGAGTGTAATCTAATAAACTGGTCTCGCCTATATGCGCAAGCCTGTGAGCCTTTTTTGTTTTTAATTTAGTTTGTTTTAACAAATTAGTCAGTTAAATAGACCCACAATTTCTCCTACTGCCTTTTGTATTGTTACGCCTCTTCAGCAGCAACATATTTTTGCTCCTCTTGTTTTAAGTTATTAATATGCAGAGCACTGAGCTTTTGTTCATCAAAGCATTTATTAAATTTAACTGGAAAGGTGTTCTGCTCATAGACAAATTTGCATTTAAAAATACCATGTTTTTTTCTTTGCCTAAAATTAATAGAAGTCATACTTTTCAGTAGAATATCTGTACAAAAGCAATATTAAAGCTTCAGATGAAATATAACAGCCAGCTTAAGTGTTTGCATGGTGATTAATTATGACAATGCTGGTATATGAGGTGCCAGTAATGATTTTTAATGACAGTAATTCACCAATCCTCAGATTTTATAAGAACTGTATGCCTTTTTAAAATGTTCTGTACGCTCTCATATGCATTTTTGGATTCTTAGCAAATGTGTACCTCCTGCAGGTTTACAGGTAGTGTTGAACTCCATAATCAAAGCCATGGTTCCTCTGCTCCATATCGCCCTGCTGGTCCTCTTTGTCATCATCATCTATGCCATCATCGGTCTGGAGCTCTTCATGGGAAAGATGCACAAGACCTGCGTTCATAACCTAACAGGTACACACAAACACTCACTTGTAGAATACCTATTTGTAAGCACTGATGCACAGATATAAATAAAAACATGCACGATCAAACACAGCCAATAGCACACAACACTTCCGTTGCTTCGATACATGATCAAAGCATGTATTGAAGTGTATGTGCAGGCATGCTTCAGTTAGCATTTATTCACATACATACAAAGTGCAAACTTTGGTGTTCAAGGTCTTTGGTTTGACTGAGCTTTGCATAAATTTGAACTCTACAGTAAAACTTTATCAGCAAACAAACCTTAAACAGTTAAATGATCACATCAATTAATTATTCAAACCATCATTTATGTTTCTGAGCAGGAACAATTTCAGCAATAATTGAAACAACAGCTGCCATAAATGATTGAAACAATTTTCAGCAAAGGGCCTCAGGTATAATGGACTGGAGTGTTATTATGTTGGCGTTATACATCCCCTGAGAGGCATTAGCTTTCCACAGGGTAAGTGCCAGTGGAATACTCTGCTATCCTATACATCACCCTGGAGAGCTTGTTTTGTATAATTAGTAAAACACTTTTTCCACATTGATTTTTTTTCATGGTGCCTTTGTTTGGTGTTATTTCACGGTGTCCTTTTAGCCTTTCGACCTCTTTTTTTATGTGAATGGATTGAATCTGTAACAGAGCTTCCCGTAGCAAAAAATCAAAATGTTCAGTGAGCACTGCTTGGATGGACGTAAATCTCTCCTGCTGGGATCTGCAGTTCAAAAGACAAGCGCCTGAGTTCGAAAAGTATGCTCGATAAAAAAGTGCAAGTCTGTGTAAACAAAAGCGTAAGGAGTCATGATCTCAAGGAGAATTTTGATAACAAGGATCCTGTCGCCACTATATATCATAAATAGTACAGTACATGGATGTTCCATTGAAATGAAACATTGACTAGAGTTTTGAAGCTTGGAGCTTCTGCTATTGCTAGCGCTGGCAATTAGGGTGAACTCCGTTGCAAACAGGTGCCATACCAAAAGCTTCCTTGCAATTGCTTTGGTTGCTAGCAGATTGATGCTGTCACCCATAGTTTGCATGGAAGGCTCCAATTTGTCTGCAAACATGCTAACTAACTGGAAAAAGTATGACACAAACTGGAAGCAGAGACAGTTCACCTTCAAAGTAGGTGGTGCTTTGCCACTGAAATCAACATATTTCAGTATATTCCATGTCTTCACAGTTGCAATTGCAAGTGGCAATCACAAGGCAGTTTGTTTGCAACCTCTTTGCAATTAGCTACTGTAAGCAACTTTTCCCTGGCAATCGCTGATTACAGGGGGTAGCTGACAGCTCTCTAGACATGTATGACTGGAGCTTAGCAACTGATTTCACAGTGTAAGCCAGCAACCTCTTGCAACCAGTAAGGAATAATCCTAGCAGCCAGTGGTTAGCAGACAATTGCCAACAGCTTTCTAGGCCTGTGTAAAGTCACTGCATTGCTACATGAGATGCTAACTTTGACGAGTGAAAAACAGGCTTAAAACAAAACACAATCAAAAAAAAGTGAGCAACTTATAGTTTGCAGTATGTTTTAATATGACAAAATCTTAAAAAGTTATTGGAAGTGAAACTTGCACGCGCTACCAATGCAAAATACACTTAAAACACTGGGTTATGTGAAAATTTACAGTTGGCATCAAAGCAGACTTGAGCTACAGAGCACAAAATGATTTTATACCAGCTTCTAAGCATGTTTATTTCTGTTATAAATTTGGTTATCGTAACATGTGAATCCTTGACGAGTGACCTCCTTTTGGAGCATGCCTCAAGCAGGCTTTCGAGGATCTGTGGTTTTTGCTACTTTTAAGTTGGCTTCCTGCTGCTTGATTTCTACATTAAAAATCGTGATGAGTAAAAGCTAAAAATGGCTTTTTCTATGAAGTTTAACTCACTACATCTGTGGTTTCTAAATAAATTATAGCTGTCTTGTTGAGCTTTTTTTCCCCTCGTACAACAGAAAATGATCTTTGTGTGTAATTCAGTCTAATTTTCCACCCTCCTCAACAGTGCATCATTAAAGCAACAAAAAATACATTATTTGTAAGATATCTGAAAAATTAAAAAAAAAATGGCCATTGCCACTTTTTTCTCTTTTGTCACAGCCACTATTGCAGAGGAAAAGCCAGCACCATGTGCACCTGATGGAGCTTATGGTCGACATTGCAAGCATAATGGAACACAGTGCAGAGTTGGGTGGGAGGGCCCAAACGACGGCATCACAAACTTCGACAACTTTGCCTTTGCCATGTTAACGGTGTTCCAGTGTATAACCATGGAAGGCTGGACGGACGTGCTGTACTGGGTGAGTCGGACACCAAAGCAGTGTTTTTGTGTTTGTGTGGCTTAGTGAGTACCGGAGGGATTGGTGCGTGGAGCCTCTTTACTGTATCTGTAACATCAGTGCCAGATGAGTGCTTTTGAGAAAGGAGTATAACACAATAACAAAAACACTTGTTTTAGAAAGGTGGGTACATATAAAGACTGAACAAATACACACACAGAGTTAGCTTCTATCTCAGGTTAATACAGACAATACACTGTGTAATTGAAGCTGCAGATTCATTTAGAACGTGTGTAGAATCCCTACGCTTGATTTCAGTGTCAAGTGAGCAAACATGGGGCCACAGACAACTAAATATTTCCGCAGGGACAAGTTTCCCTGCTAATCAAATCAAACAGAGCTTGGTAAATTAGAACAAAAGGGCTTTCAAGATGCTGGACAAACCTTTAGAACAGCTTTAAGTGCTTTGTTGCAATTGCATTTTTTGAAAGTTTTATCTTGTAGGGAAGTAAATGCATTAACTTTCTGGCTTGACATTTTATGAAATGGTTACAAATTAGTTACAAAAAGTAGCAAAATAAATTTCTCTTGTGTTTGAGATCTACATGGCACTCGGAGGTCAAATGGACTGCAGCTTAAGAAAATAACAGCAACTAGAAGAACACTGCAAAAAAACAGAAGCTGAACAACACACCGTGGAAATAAAAAAAAAACACAGCTGAAATTGATTAAAACAAAAAAGAAGTTGACTAAAACACAGTAGAAGCAGAAAAAAACAAGAAAATTCCACAAAACACAACAGAAGTGTTTCTGGGGACACAATACCGTGACGAACCAGCTGCAGAAATGACAGAAACCAACGCATGCCAAGCATTAAGACACGCGTAAAATAACCAGAGGGTTCATCGGTGTTGTGAGGCTTAAAAAGATGGAAGGTAATGTTTGTTTTAATCACATGATTCGTATAATAACGTAAATACATTCTTGCTATTAGATATTTACTGTTAGCTTGGCACTTCCGCGGCTGTTCCGTCACCTTATAGTCTCCCCAAAAGTTTTCTGTTTTTTTGTTTTCACTTTTGCTTCATTTTTTTCTATTTCCATTGTGTTTTATTAAACTTTCACTGTGGTTTATGTGCTTTTTCTGTTTCCTGATGTTTTCTTAAGAGCCACTGTAGGGATATCACGTAAAAATGTGCATCCAGTATGTGCTTGTTGGTTAAGTTACTAGCTCTACATCCGTTCTGCTATTCCTGCTTATCTACTGCAGTTTCCTGTTTATATTTACACACAGCACTCCTATAACAAATTTGACGTGCTGTAAAATGTTAAATCGTCGAATGATTGAAGCACCAGCCCTTTGACAATATTTTGTTTGTGTTGTAATTTTACATAATTTTCAGCGTCACACACTTTCACTACAAAATATCATCATGCAACATCTGCTGCTGTCACAGCACATAAACCTGCTGTCAGCCTTCTCCTTTTTATCTCTGTCCCCCAGTCTTTGTGTTAAATTCTTTAATTAAGAGCCTTATCATATTATTATCCGCTAACCTAACCTTTGCATTTACAACCTCAATCTAATCAGTAATCTAATAGTCTAATAATGGGACTTTTGTTTTGAAGTAAAATCCTGGATGCTAAACTGCTCACTTTGTCAGCATCGATTGCTACATATATCCACCCCATTTATTCATCACAACAATTTCCACATTAATCTCTCTTGATACTGTTATATCTTTGTTTCTAGATCCATTCACCAATCTAAGATGAAATTACCTAAGTTACTGTGGAACTTTAAATTGCAGCCAGGGTTTGCCATTAAATTACAAAAGTGTTCTTAATTATGGATCGTGGTCTGCCTGCTCTCCAAGCAAAGGATAAAAGGCTTATAGTCAGTTTTAATCATACAATTATGCCATTCTCACTGCTACCTGCTGCTCTTTTAACATACACTGCTCCTTTTCTTTTTTCCTGCTTTTATCTCCTTTTAACCTCTCTCTCTAACACACTTTCCTGTCCTTGACCTCTACCGCCCTGACTCATCCTTGACTTCATCTTCTCTCTGTCAACCTTCTCAAAACCTTTTCTGTCATGTTTCCTGTTCTTTCCCTACTTTTCTCACCCACCTGTTGATTCCACATCTGTGCTACTCCCCCCTTTTTCTCCTTCCTCTTCTTTCTCCTTTTCTTTCTTCTTCGCTCCTCTTTGCCTTTTCTCTCTCTCAGATGCAGGATGCTATGGGCTATGAGCTGCCATGGGTCTATTTTGTCTCTCTTGTCATCTTCGGCTCTTTTTTCGTTCTCAATCTCGTTCTGGGAGTGTTGAGCGGGTAAGAGGTTATGCTGTTGTCACTTCTGTATGTGCAGTAGGTGTGCTGTGTGGCTTTATTTACTATTTTAAATGTGATAAATGACGATGTTACAAGACTCCCGTAATGCAATCTAAAGTGCAAGTTTTTTCTTATTATTTCTCTTTTTGTTGTCATTAAGCCACATGTTTTAACACATGCATACATACAGACCCAGTAAAATAATAAATTTGATGCAAATAAGAGCCGTGTGCTGACCGCAGTCTCACCTCATCATTCCACCAGAAAAAGTAGAGCTAGACAACCGTAGTCCTCTGTTGATGAGGAAAGATAAAATGATGATCACTGAACTGAGCAAAATCTTTTGCTCTCTTCCCTTTCTCTTTCACTCAATCAATCCTTTGGCACAAGCCTGAAAGAAATACACAAAAGCACTCAGAAAAAGCTGCGAGTGACCCCACGTCTATCTGTCGTGTTCATGTCAGTTTGCCCACCTGTCTGTGCTGAACAGGTAGACACATACACACAAATATTTACACATTTCCAAAACTTAACACATTTCAACTTAAAATGAACACTACTGTGTTCCTACATGTTTTTTAGCTTACATGCACGTTTGTATCTTGCAAGTTAGCATTTATCTTTCTTTTTTTTTTTTTACATTTGTGCGCGCACACACAGAGTGTTTATATTTGTTTAAAGGCATGTGCTGCGCTGTGTGTTTTGTTTCAACAAATACTGCTCGAGCAGGCTCGCTGGGTGCTGTTTTACCCCACTCTGCCAAGTCACACTGTTTCAGTACAAGCGCCTCCCGGTCTGCAGGGACACACTGGGGTATAAATAATTCACCCCTCAGGTCAGCCGTGGAGGTGGAATGCTAAAAAAACTTGCACAACAGGGAAAACACAATAAGGACAGAGTGGAGTCTGGAGGAAATGTGGCATTAAATATGGAAATTATGGAACAGCAGGCTGCGCTGAGTAGTGAAAAGCATTTTTTTAAGCATCCGTAAAAAACATTGTTTGCAGATCACACGTGATGGTAATAATAATGATGATAATGTTAAAAAAAATAATTGTCAATAAATTGGCAGAGAATGGTTTTGACTTGATGTCTATTTCCAGTCCATGGGAGTCTTGGTGCACAGTCTCTTCATTTGTCTAACTACACTCTTATTTCTCCAGTGATTAAGGATGAAAAAGAAGAATTACAGTGGAAGTAGAATCACCTATGTGATTATTAAACTTCTGACTTCTTTTTTTTCTTGCAGGAATACATTAATTCATTTATTTTGTTTGTCACGTGAGACTCGCAGCCTCCTATAGGTTTCACTGTTTTAAAAGACCCGATGAATCCACCAATGCATCTCTTTATCATTTCTCAAACTCATATTGCCCAAATACTTTGCCATGTGGCACACTAAGTGACTAACAAATAATATCAATGCACCATAATCCCAGCAGGGAACAAGCAGAGGTAAACGGTTCCATCTGTTGGGAACTTTCACCAAGGATCTAACTCATTCCCTTATCCCTCCTTCTCCTTTCTCCCGTCCCCATCATCCTACCACTCCCTGCCTTTTCCATCAATCCCCTGTCTTCTTGTCTTACTTTTTCCTCTTTTACCATCCATCTACTTCCCATCTTCCATCCTTCTATCTCCTCCCTTTGCCCCCTATCCTGATGCCTCCTAGGTGAATGATGCTGTAGGTTACACATGGCCCTGGGTCTATTTTGTCACCTTAATCATCATCGGATCCTTCTTTGTGCTAAACTTGGTTCTGGGGGTATTAAGCGGGTAAGGGCAGGGTCAAAGGTCGTTTGAAACTAATTTTTCTTTCTTGCCTTTTTGCTGCTCTTGGAGAATTTTGCTTCTGGTCTTTTGCTCGAGGGATCTCTTCACTTCCTTCTCCTTCCTGCCTCTTGCTGCTGCTGGCGTTTATATTTAATGAGTACAAAGCATGTACCAGAATGTGTTTCTATATAGTCCCATTGGTTGCTTTACAAGACCATGTATCTGAGGCTTTGTGACTCTTCCAACTGAGCATTGCTGACTGCACATAGATTTTTTTTCTTATCACTGTAGCTGACTGTAGTGAAATCATACTTGAGCATCTGGCTCGAAGACCACTGAAACCTTCTGGGTATTGTTTCTCTTACTACAAGGCTCCACTGCTGTTTCTGTAAAATAGCACTAGTTCTGTCATGAAGTGCTCTGTTTTCAGCACTGATGCAAGGTGGAAAAACTACCATCTCATTTTGTTTTTTTAAAGGAATTAATATGTAAACTAAGAACCCTTGTGATTAAAGCTGTTTATAGACCAGCAGTTAATACACAAAAACATGTACGAAAATGTATCTGAATTCAGCAGTAACAGAAGTATATCAATTGCCATCTAAAAACATCTTAAATTTCTCAGTTCCAAGATCAGCTCTGCCAGGGAACAGGTTTTAGAGTCAGATGTCTCACCCCTGACTGACTGACCTGAATCTGACTTGATACCCTCAGGAGAGGTGGCAGCAGCATTGTAGGGAAAATAATAGAGGTCTATCTGTACCAAACAGCTTGGGGGGTTTGGTTGTCCGACTCTTTGTCTGACTTCTGACTAATGATGCTGTCAGCTCACTACACAGCCTGACCTTTTACCAACTGGTTACTCCATGGTGTGTGTAGGTCTCAGATTGGCATAATAACTAATGGCTAAACAGGAAGAAGGAGAATGACGGATGTAGAGACATAGGCTTAGGGTGTGACTGTGTTTGTCTGGATTTGATGTAATACGTAAACAGAGAGGATGGAGAAAGTGGCTCGACCGAAAGAGAATGAATAGGTAGAGAAAGGAGAATTAAAAGATGACTGAGGGCAGAGAGGTGAGACAGTGGAGAATTGGAAAATGAGCGTGGAGCCTAAGGATTTAGCACTCAAGGCCACACTCACACACACACATACAGGATATGCGCACTGAACTGCACAAGCCCAGATCAATAAGATTGGATCTCCTGCTAATGTTCTGACAAGTGGGACAATAGCTGTTTGTCCTAATGCTCATTGATCTGCTGTTGTGGGTTTGAGTGTGGAGTCTGCAGTTCAATCTGAAGTTCCATCATTCCCCTAAATTTCACACAGACATCCTCAAACACACTTGAATTCTGCCCAGCCAATAGACATGACCAAAAAAAAAGTCAATAACAATACCAAGAGTTTCATCAGTTCTTGATCTCTGGAGAGCAGTGAAACACTAACAGCCTACACAACCTCTCTTAAAACCTTTGTGCTAATTGCTTGAAATCTGATTAGGAATATTGAGATAACGCTTAAACCTGAGCTTCAAAAAGAGTCCCACTTGTATGTTCAAAACTAACGTAGGGAAGTTTACTTCTATGTAAAATATTCACGACAAGGAGGCATTTGCTGTGTTTATTTTCCAACAGGCCTTTAAATATGAATTTGTTCACGTTTTAACTGCAAAAATTCCCAAGTCTCCCAGGTCCTGTCAGCCCTCATCTGAATGAATTTCCTTTGTTCAGACTGGATCTTTGGTTCTAACCTGTCTTTGACCTTCCCCAAGTGCACCGTTTAATCAAGTCTTCCTCAATTCTTTCTTCCCTCCTGTCACCTGGAAGCAATTTCACTGAATTTCATCATAATGATATGATATTTCACACTCGCTGGTCACGTTGGTTTTAATTGTCTTAAATTATTTTTTCTGCACGTGTTCTTTGTGCACAAAACCTCCGAAATCCAGGTGAGGTACAAACCTATAACATTTTTCTGTAATCAATGTCTCTGAGTAGTAACTGAAAGAATGAGTTGGCGGGCAAAAGGTTCGGAGCTCAGCGATGCAGGATGACTTTAGTGCAGAGCCACCTCTCCAACTATTTGACAACAGCTGAGGCTGTGCAGCTGGTGAGGGCGCCCTCTTTGTGCCTCCCTCCGGGGTTCTACCAAGCACATTGCAACCTGGGGTAGACCCAGAAAACACCACAGGAATCCCATTTCCCAGCTGGCCTGGATCCACCTGGGAGTCCAGTACAGATAAATTAAGTCTTGAACTTTAATATTTAGTACGTTTTTACAATCGGCAGACTTTTCACTGTAGCTTTTTATCATATTAGCTGAGCATGCATCAGCCAGAAATCATCACCTGTTCCCTGCTGAGAAAAGGTGGTACAATTCATCAACAGTGCAACAGCCTAAATGAATAGGGTTCCTGCTGCATCACTTCCTTTCACTCTTTTATTTGGTTCTTCCTTTTTATCTATGTGAATCACATGGAATCAGTCCTCATCATCTTTCATGGAACCCCAGCTGGCTTGAATGGTATTTCATTATTTGAGTGGTTGATATGTAAATAATTATTAATAAGGTATAAAGATCTATATTCTAGGAAACCAAAAGCTGCATTTGCATACTAACACCGTTTCTCCGTGGCAAAACTTTTCTTTCGTTACTTAACTTTTCTTCTCTCTGGCAGGGTTTTCCCTCTTCTTCTTTCCGAAGTATCCTTTTCTTTTAACTTGATCACTTTTGTCACATGATGATTTTGCCAAAACCTTAGTCAAGATTTTCAGATTCTCTTTCCTGTCTTTCTCTCTGTTTGCTCTCTCTTTCCCATCAATTCTCTGCCCCGCTCCTTCTCTTCTGCTCCCCTCCTCCCAGAGAGTTTTCCAAGGAGAGAGAGAAGGCCAAGGCGCGCGGTGACTTCCAGAAACTCAGAGAAAAACAACAACTGGAGGAAGACCTCAAGGTAGTTTGGTGTGTGTGTGTGTGTGCATGTGTGCATGCGGTTGTCCCCATGCCAGAAAAGCTGTTACAGTCTTTACCAAAGACTTGGGTTCATTCTACTGTCAGTGTTCAGTAACCTGTAACCCTTCAGTAACAGTGAGCAGGGAAAGCAGAGCAAACTTTACTTCGAAGTTACCTAAGTTACAAAACAACACAAGCACTCCTCTTACCTCATGGAAAAGTGTAAAAAAAATAGGGCACACGAAGATTGAGACACATGATACATATTCTAAAACATTTCATTCTTATGATTCCAAACAGATGTGAAGTTTGATCTTTCTGTTTACCCATCAGTATTTCCCTTGTTTGTGTGTGAATATAGGGCTATTTAGACTGGATCACTCAAGCTGAAGACATTGACCCAGAGAATGAAGAGGAGGGCATGGACGACGAGAAACCCAGAAATCGTGAGTGTGCGTTTTTTTGACAGAAGGAAGAATAGTTCTCCGTGAAGATGACGCTGTATGCATGTGTGACTGAATTACTGATTGGTGGTTAGGATTAGCTGTGTCAGGATATGGTAAGACTTTGGCAAAGGCTAGCTGGAATGATTTCCTCCCAGATGCATCGCAAGTTTGTCAGGATAGGTGTGGATGTGTTTGCACTACATTTATTGCTCCGTCTATAAGTAGTGAGTCTCCTTCACACTGTTATGGCACAGTCATTAAATGAACAACTGACGTATGGGCAGAGTGACTGACAGACCGAGAAGATATTAATATTATCTGCTTGCTTTGGCTGAGAATCATCCTGAGGATTAAAACCTGTTTAGATATTAGTGGAATGTGTCAGACTGCAGCTAATAGCCTCTGGGCCCACACTGTGACACACAACAAACACACACTACTGCAGCTATGCAAAATTAACGTAAGAACACACACACGCACTGTAGGTACACCCTAAGGAATTTGTTTACTTGTGTTTTGACAGAAATTTACACACACAAATTAACACCTTGTCTCTCTATACAAACACCTCCAGAGAGATGCAGCCACACATGGCTCATGTCTCCTCAGGAATGCACTATATTTCCTTGGGAGGGAAAGTAGACACTGGCCTCTTTAACCTGGAGGTTGGAGCTCAGAAGTTAGACCTTGAAAGAGGGACAATAAGAAAGAGAGGCAGTGATTTGACAGAATGCATGTCTGTTGTATTCCTGGACATGTACCCTTAGTATAAACAGTATGGACTGTGAAGTATTTTATAAAGGCTTGGAGCTAAGCTTGCTCACACTGGTAGTGGCTGAATGAATAATGAGGACTAACCACGAAGAGACAGAGCGTGCATTCTGCTTACATTCTGCGCACAGCCACGCTCATCTCCTGAAAATCACTGTGGTTCATTCGGAGAAAACACTGATGACTGCCAAGGGAAAAAAGAAAGAAAGAGAAAATCTAATGATGATCTAATCTTTCAGGGAATATCAAGAAATTAACATGGTCAAATGAGCAATGACCCAATTTACATGAAAATAAGGCACAACACCCCCGTGGCTAATCCGTAACAAATCTGCTTGTTTTCACCTGTTACCACTGTGCTCCCCTGGGCCAATCAGTCTGGCAAACACACATCAGCAGTCTCTTAGATAGTGTTTTGGCCCATTAACAAACAAACAAATACAGTATGTGGCCAATTTTGAAAATGTCACATCAAAATATTATGATTTTTTTTTTCTGCTCTAAGTTTTGCAAATTCTGCATCAGTGATATATTTTGCAGTGTCTGAACAAGCCAAATATGGCTGTAAACCAGAACCTGTAAGTGTTTGCTATACAGTAAACATACACACATATACATATTTTCCTCAAATAAATCTACCATGCGATCTCTGTGGATCACTTAGTTGCAAGATTAAGCCTGTGACATCTTCTAAACAGTATAAATTAGGCCATTAGATGTAGATGATTCAACAAAATGATTAATATATATGATGCAAAGTTCTCTATAAGAAAGATCAATCATCGCTCTCTGTTTGTGAAGGTGAAAAATCAAGTCACTTGCTCTGTCTATTACTCTGCCTCCCCTCTCCCCAATGGATGGATCCTCTTGTGGGAAGATGAACGAGGGCAGTTTGTCCCTGCTGCCCAGGACATTTTGCATCAGCTCATGCATGCACAGCTCACCTAAATGTGTGTCCTAAGAAGCGATAGGAGACTCAGAGAGTAGAATAGATGAAAAGGGAAAAGTAGATGTTTAGACAGTGTAAGGACTGCAGAGTGTACACGGACTCCAGACAATATCTAGAAAATCAGGTTAGGGGATTGTCTGAAGTTGCCTTTTATCACATGTGGCACACAGCAGCAGCAGAGGTTCGCTTCACGTGCATTACTGCTGTAGATAGTCCTGAGCAGGGTGTGCAGAAGTCACATGACACCCCATGGACTGCCTATAAATTCCCTCGATATTCACTAGACTTGCTGTTCTTATTCAGGTTAAATCAGCGTCATCGCTGGACAACCCTGCTGTCTCATGATGTTCTAACATGAGGCTCCCAAAGAAGATTAGGCTTGCAGTGCAACAGGACTGCACTAACATCATATTCAATATTATGAATATGAGAAGTTGATGATGTCAAGTATAATATATGTAAAATATGTGTGTTTTCTGTCATCTCAAGGGCATAGTCTGTATGCATGTCTTCCGTGCTGTTGCTGTCTACCATCTTGTTCTTGCATGCTGTCATCGTGTTTTGTTGTCCTTGCTGTTTGTGTTAGGAGTGTCTCCAGCCCACCTGAGAAGCAAGACCAGTATGCATGTCTGATCCAGTCATTCTCCTGACTGTCAGGATGGTGTTTGTGTATCCTCTGTGGCGTTGACGTGTGCTTCCATGTAATTCCGGTTGTGATTAGGCATGTGTGCACCAAAAGTGGTTGTAATTACGTTTGGGCTACATGGCTTCTGTTTGGGATGCCTTCTTGATGGTGCAGTGATACAGTATATTGCATCTATCCTGGAAATGCACCGATCCCTTAAAGATTTGTAGAGGATGTGACTAAGATGTTCAGGCTGCTGCTCTGTGGCTTCCCGCTGTGTGGAGTAATAAAACAGAAATTTTCAATTTATCTTGCAATGCATTCTCATCCAGGGATGTCAAATACTGCCGTTTTGTCCGATTCTCCTTGTCTGAGATTGATACGCAAAAATGTGTCCTACAATACACACAGAGCGATGAAAGATGTCCACATTAGGACGTTTGAGTTGTTGTGGTGAAATAAATCACAGGTTTGTTAACCAGAAGATCACAGCCTCCTGGTTTTCAGTCTTGTTTTTTTTCCTTTAAACCTGCTTTTGACGTTAGTTTTCACTCGCTGCCTGTTTAGGTTTAACAAAAGATTGGAATTTGCGATTTAATGCTACACCTTGAAAAATGTTGTATTTGCCCAGCGTGTTTAAATGCAGTGATATGAGGTCCTTCACAAACATTATGTGACAGACCCAGTGCTCCATAGCACAGATACCAAAGGACAGCTGATTATCTGTGAGGTGTGCTGGCACTGAAAAAAAACCCCAGCAGCATTTGATGCTGTGGGAATGATGCTCTACTGTCCATTTTACAGCAGCGCCAGTGTTATAAATGTTGCTTGCTTTCAGCTGCTACTGCAAAAATGGTTTGATAGATCTTACACTGTGACATGGTAAATATGCATTTCACTTGAGGAAGGATTTTTGCTGTAAACCACAACTTAAGAAATCAACTTAAAAACAAACAAAATAGATGAAATCATTATTAATATTATTCAGTTGAGCATCCACAGTAATCTAAATGCTGTGCCACTCTTCTGTGGTAAAGAAAGAGCTGTTGATTTAGATCTGCATTCCTATCTTCAGCTCAGTGCTCAGTGTAGTGACTGAAAGAATGAGCTCGCATATACAAGTGGCTGAAATGACCTCTCTGAAAGGTGTCTGGTCTCAGCCTTTGAGACAGGACGAGGACCTTTGCCACACTGGCTGCTATACATTGGGCACTTCATATTGAAAGAATATAATATATATATATATAGTTCTACTAGGATGATTTCTAGATGAGCAGTTTCAGTTATGTTCAAATGGGAGTAGGCCCAGAGGTAGACCCAGGGCACGCTAGGCATGCTGAGATTATGTCTCTCAGTTGGCTTGGAAACACTTTTGGTGTGTCCCCGGAAGAGGACCTAACTTCTTGGAAGTGGATTTTAAGAGGTCTCTAGAAGACAACCAAACTCTCTGGCCTTCAGTATATTGTGGGGCAGGGGGTCCTCTGATAGTCATCAAGGTGTTGATTTTGCTCTGAAGTTCATGCTGCTTTTGTTTGCTTCCAATATAGACAGTGGTAAAGGTGCTAATACACAGAAGGTATGGTTATCTCTCCAGCTACCCCTTTGCAACCTGGCCCTTTGGGCAGGAAACAGTTGATTTGGTAACAGGCTTTGTTTAGTTCCAGAGTCAACTATAGCTCAGCGAGACAGTGTATCCTGATTAAAACAAAGACTGGCTGACAAAAACATGCAGGGGATGGCTTTTAGTTAAATACAGCTCACTAGTATCTCTACATTTACTGGTAGGCTTTCCCTTTTGGCCTCACTGGACGGCATAAGAAGAAATTCCCGGGTTTACCACAATAGAGTCTTTGTCTCAAGAGTCTCAACTGCCAAAACTCAAAACTTCCAAACCCTGTAACACTTGTTGGATGAAGGAATCATACCCTTCCCAATCAACCAGAAACTGGAGAATCCGATCCACCACAGCACACCCAAAATGCTACAGACAGCATTGGCCGAATGGTCACCCACCACCCTGCCAGGTCAACGGAGGGCTAGCCAAGAGGTACAGAGAGCTGGAAGATATGGGATTGATTTGGAACACATGGAATAGAGGATAGATTTTTATGGAAGCAGGTAGTTTAAGGCACACAGCAGAAGTGCCAGTCTTGCATGCTTTCATTGCTATCTTGTTCTTACATTCTGTCTTCTTATTTTGTTGTCCTTCCTGTGTGTGTTAAAAGAATTTCTAGCACACTTGAGAAACAAGACCAGTATGCATGCCTGGTCCAGTCATTCCACTGACTGTCAGGATCGTGTATGTGTCTGTTCTTTGACTTGTGCTCCGATGTCTATCCAGTTTAGGATTAGGCATGTATACATTAAAATGTCTTCAGTTGTAATTATTTTTGATCTGCAGGGCTTCTGGTTAGGATGCCTCCTTAATGGTAGAGTGATACAATCCCATCTGTCCTGGAAACACACCAGACTCCTAAAGAGTTTGTGGAGGATGTGACGAAAAAGAAAGATGTTCAGACTACTACTCCGTGGCATCTCACTATGCGGAGCGAAACAACAGAAATTTTTCAATACACTTTGTTCTCAGTCACCATCTCTTTTTAACCTGCCTTTTTACGTTTGTTTTCATTCGCTACCTGGCTCGATTTGAGAAAAGATTGTGATTTGGGTTCAAATATGTACCTTTACCCAGCATGTGGAGATTAAAAGATTAAGCGGTACAGGAGAGAAACAGACATGAGTGATTTTGTGCCAGTAATGTTAGTACTCTGTACCTGCAGTAATGAAATGAGGTGTGACTGCAAAGAGGGAATGCCATTTTTCCAGAAGAATTCCTAGTTCTTTGTGCGTATTTTGGTATATATGAGCATACTTGTGTGAACGCTTCATGTTAGTGTTTGTGTGTGTGTGTGTGTATGTGCGTGTTTATTGGTCTGTCTTGCTGAGCCGTGCTCTCTATCCCCAGGTAAGAGCCATCATTTTCTGTCCCTGCGTGGAGCCGTGAAGAAAAATGCGGCTTTCCTTCGTAAGGCGTGTGCGTCTGTCTGCATGGTCCAGCACTAGTTAAAGCTTTACTGGATTCTAGACATGCAAGCAGATTGCAACCTCTCTGCTCACCTATACTCCCCACTTTCCGATGCCTCTCTTCCTCCCCTTTTTATCCACTCCCCCTCCAGTGGAGTAAGCATCTTTCTCTGCAGCCTCCAGAGTGGGGATCAGCTGCCTCTCAACACTGTAAAGTAGTTTATTCTCTTCCTTACCCTTTTTCATGCACCAACCACTGAATGATGATTAAATATGAGGGCCATATATATGAATATCCTCCGACAGTGGAGACATGGAATTTTCCCCCTGATAACTACCCCTGCTGCTGGCAAAATTGCATGTCTTTATTACATTAAAATCTTTACAGTGTTTCATGGCCCTTTAAATTACTTAAGTACATCCAAAATGTAAAAAACAAAACAAAAAAAAAAAACCCTCAAAGTCCAGGGAATAGGGATACAAGGAGAGAAATAACATTACTGTGCTGAGATGAAACAACTTTTGTAGGAAAGGATCTGCATCTGCCTGACTTGTCTGAAAAAATAACAAGAGGATGTCATCACAGAAAACAACTGGAGTGATGGTTTCGTACCACACGACTCATAAAAAACACTGTTCTTACTATTGTTAGTGATGTCAGAGTCCTCTCCTTGGTTTTTCAGATTCCTTTCCCTAAAGTCCCCCCCCCCTCCTGCATCACTATTAGCCTTGCTAGCTGCGATAATGAAGTACAGTGGAGAAACAGCTTTGAAATGAGAAATTTAACATTTTTATGAAATCAAATTACCAAAAGCCTGCATGAAAAGATTTGTGTTGTCATTATTAAGACAATGATACAAAGTAGAATTCAGTGTCTTTTGGGGGGTTTGAGTGACATTTTAAATTAAATATATTTTTCATTTTTGTGACTGGAAAGAAAATCTGTTTTAGTTTGCTGACAAAAACACCAAAACAAACACGAGACGCTGTCATAAAAACACAAATTGTTGTGGAGGATGCTTTTTTTTCCCAGAAATAGCACCGTGAGTTCATGTTCAAGCTCACCAACACATGCCAACACTTTCTGTTCTATCACTTTTCTGTCTTCCTGTCTTCCCTCCTCTGCCCCTCCTTTCAATACTATATGTTCCTTTTCCTTCTTCATCTCCTTCCCTGTCTCTGTGTCTCAGGTCTTTGGGGTTTTACTCTAACAATAGGCTTTAAACTAGTTCAGCGCTCCATTGAGGGGAAGGCACCAGGCTGCTTTTATATTTGAAAGGCTTTTAGCCTCAGGAGGGACCAGAGGGCCCTGAGTGCTTTTAACTAAGTAGCATAGCAGCAGGTGGCACGTGTCGAGGTGAAGAAACACACAGCGTGTTCATGGCAGAGGTATTCAAGTTGAGACAGACCATCGTGATCTCTACAGCGCTAAAGTCGTTCATCCCTAACCATGTGTCAAAGTACAGTAACCTAATGCACTGTTCACTCACTGTAGCTTACTTTGACACATCATTGGGCTTACAAGCCATCTCTTGGGATAACCAAGAGATACATAACCACATAACCTTTGGAGTAATTTTCTAAACATGACTTCATGACCTCGCCTGGTGGATTTCTCAAGTTTCAGTAGCAAATCTGCACAAAAGACCAACTAAATGCAGGAATACATGTAACTGGACTTTTTGGCGCAGAATCAATGAGTAAATGAAAAAGATAATCCAAGTCAGAATAACATTATTAATATCTTTTTTTTAAAATTGGGGTTTGTTTGCAGGTTTTTTGAGAGGGTGCTGATCATATTATTTGGTTTCATGCTGTAAGATCATTTGCACCAGTAGGTTTTACTGAAGATATCTTATTTTAACAAAAGAGGCATTGATATTCATATGCAGTACCTGGCTCTGGTGCCCAGAGGGTGTTACAATAAGTGTTTGAGGTGACAGTGAGGGGAATGCAGCTCATTCCCGCCAGCAGGCAAAGACTGACAGAAGCAATAAAAACCAATGTATCACTTCATATCAATCTCTCCAGCAGCCATCCCCACATTCTTTTCTCCCCGTCTCTCCCGCTAACCATACCTCCCTCAGTGCCTCCATTACTTTCGCCCTCCAATCCTGCCTTTCTATTTTCCTTCATTTTTTCTTCTATTCCATCCTTACCTGCCAATTTATATTACTCCTGCCTAAGGACAAAGTGCCACATTTACAGTGTACTTGTGATTTATATAAACAAAGAAAAAACTTTCCACCTGTTTGCAAATCTGCAAAATTATCACTGGGGCGAGGAGTAAAACTGTACTTTTTCTTTTTAATAGTTTGATTGTTTTTAAAGACCAATCCCGTCCCCACACACCATCTGTAGACTACAGATAGACATCTTTTTTCCCCAACTCTTTGGGTCTTGAAATCACAAATGGATTTGATCAAGTTTTAATCCCCTCAACGTAAAGCAATCCCCCAGCTTGAAAATGGAAATCCTTCTAAATAGCCCCAATGTTGAATACCCAAAAGTTAAAATCGAGCACAGAAATGGTTGACTAATTTCAAAAATTGTGGCGATGTCAATAAGCATGCTAATGCTTCAGCTTAGTTTCATTCACCACAGCAGCAATTGGCAAAATTAGAATTAGTCAACCTTTTCCTCAAGTGTTGTGTCTGTGCTACCTTTTTAGCTTTAGGCATTAAGCTGTGGAATTATATTACTTTGGTTTAGCACCACAAACTAACAAGGTTGCAAGGTTTGTGTCCCAGGATCCCTAACTGGCAACTTAGTGTGTAATTAGTGTGGGCAATCAGTGCAAAATTTGGGAATGGTTTTATTGACTCTAGGGTATGTATGTAGCCGTGTGCCTTAATTAGCAGGATTGAATAATGCTGACTTTTTAATTCCTATACTTCAACAGTGATTTTAATTAGCTTGTATGCTAGTGCAAGATGACTCCGATAAAGATCAAATGTTTAACACCAACCAAGTGTCCAGTGCTCCTCGGTACCTGAACACTGGTTGCAAGTGTGTTGCCTTGCACCTGTAAAATTCTACAGTGTTTTCCGTTGCATAATTATGATGTCCGACCCATTTCTCCTTCTGGTTAATTCATCTCTCTTTCTGTTTCTCTCCACATCTGTCAACTTTTTTTCCCTTTCTCTGCTGCTGCTCATCTCTGTCTCTCAGTGAGCATGCCAGCCAGCGAGAATGAATCAGTCAACACAGACAACGCCCCCGGGGGAGACGTAGAGGGTGAGACTTGCTGTACCCGGCTGGCGTAAGTATCTCACCGTCTTTCACAGACACACCTTTTCTCCTCCCTCTTTTCCTCAGCTTTCTCACCCATCTTTTGTCAGGTTTAAGGACAGATTGCATCCTGCAGTATTGTGCATGGAAGAATTGCCTCAGATTGCTTGTATACTTTACTGATCTCACAAGTCTGTTAGACTACAGTAGCACAAAGCTGTCAATATAGTCCACATGGATAAAGTTCTGTTAGAGTAAAGTTGGATAGATCTGAAGGGGAACTAATCAGAGCTGCTGCTCCTGGAAGTGGTTTTTTTTTTTTTTAACTCGCTAGTTTATTAGTAGTACTGCCCTTTTTTCCACTTTCTTTCGGCAAACTGTTGCTAGGCAAGCAAATTGAGGAGCAAAAACTAGTTGCTAGATCGCAGTTCCAGCTAAAAAATGATTTTAATCTCGTTTTACGGTTGTTTTCCTCATATCATAATTATAAATGTGCTATTGCTATCAGTTTGCGAACTAGAGGTTTATAGTTTGAACACAGTTTTTAAGTTTATCTAGTTGGGTAGTGAGTGCACACAACTGCTACACGTGGTACAAGGACAAAGCCAATCATTGCTTGGGAGCTAATGAATTTTGAAAAGCAAGACAAATCTATCTTATGTAAATCCTAACTCCATCTAATAGTATTCCATCTTTATTTTTTCTTTCATCTCTCTCCGAGTTTCCGTTCTCTCCCTCTCTACCCACTTTTCTCTGTTAGCTGTTGAAGTGCTTTCTTCCGCCCCTGTGGGAGCTCACAAACAGCTGACTCACTCATTCCCGCTTCCCGCTCTGCTTTCATTTTTTACATTATTCAAACAAATGTGTTGCTTTCTTTCTTAGACACAAGACAGCACAGGGGCCGCGACCCCAGCGGACTTATTTCAGTACACACATGCAAACACACCTGCATAAAAAAACTGTTGCTCACGAGCAGAAATGCATTACACAGAAACTTTAATCTTAAATTTAAACTGATTCACTCTCAACCGCAGGCGCGATAAGGCTAGTTGGCACACGTGGATGGCACGCTGTTGTTTATCTGTACTCTCACTGTCCATCTGTTATTTCATCTTTGTTATGTTGTATGTGTTTATTTGTGATCTGTCAGGCTAAAAAAAAAAAAAATAAAAGGGTATGTCATATGTGAGGCTTAAGCTGGACCCAGAAATGAAATATGGAATAATGAAATGCCCAATAAATAAGAAACCAGCAATTTGATACTTAAAAATTAAGTTTCTTTTACTAAAATTAGTAATTAGACAATTATTTGATTGGCTATGTTGCCTCACTTTAGTCACCACTAACCTGTGAGGACATGCAGTTCTGGATTATGTTTTTTTAAATTAAATATTATTATTGGCTACGTAATGGTTTTTCCAAGTACTCACGTTGCCAGTCAGTGTAATAAAGATGATGTATTGCAATACATCCTTATCCCAGGCACTACAGGCTATGGACATCCATGCCATGACGCTCCAAGTGTACAGTATCTGTACTGATTTTAATGCCAGAGGAGGTTTGGAATTCTGCAAGTGTCGAGTCAGCAGGGTGTTGGTGACTTTTGCAAACTACACACCTCCGCACTCGTGCATGGTCTGCCGCTTTATGGCTGCGGTTTCTAAATTCTCCCAGTTTGCAATAAAACCACTTTTAGTTCACTGTGAAATATCTAGAAAGAAAGAAATTTTACAAGCTCACTTGTTGCAACAGTGGCTTTCTATTATGGTACCATGGTTGAATTCAGCGATCTCTTTAGAACAACCATTCTTTCACAAATGTTTTAAAGGCAACCTGCATGGCTAGGTGCTTTTAATTCAGAGATTAAGACGTGTGGCCAAATACTTTTGTCCACATAGTGTAAGTGGCCATGGCTAAAGTCATTTATATCTTGCTTGAACTTTCATTTGCTGATTTGGTTTCTTTTTTTTAAATCTTGGACTATGTTTATATATTTTAAACTATATTTATAGGCTTAGGAGTTCTGCTACTCCAGCAGTTTTAACCAAACCGCATTAGCTGACATGCTGAGGATTAGACGGGTCAGAATATTTAGGAAATAAATGACATAATATCTGCTTTATTATGTTGTTTTCTTGGCGATCAGTAATGCCCTTGGTGTTACCATTCATAACGTTTAATTTAAATTCACATATCCAGAGATTGATATGTAGTGTACCCCGCCAGGACTAGAAATATAGCCCCTTATTCTTTCTCTGTGAGATTTTAACAAATTTGACATGGAGTATTCCTCCCAGTATTCCGGAGGAAAGATTTCAGAGTATGTCAGTTCTTCTTCACATCGGCATGGAGCTGTTCCTCACGGTACAAGCTACTTTAGCACCCACTGGTCTCGTAATCAAGACGGACACATGAAGACAAGAGATGTGTGTCCTGTCAGCTCCCATATCCAGCCAGTCAGTCATTTTAGTCTTTTGTTCAGTCAGTCAGTGAAAACAATTCATTGCTTCGGTCAGTGAGCTCGTCGGTTAATTTATCTGCTTTTACCAACATCAGAGTAGTCAGTGAAAACAATCCAAGGAAAGTTTCATGGGGACCATAAAATTTTCATATATTTTTAAAAATGTGGTCATTCAGCATCCCCACAGATTTGTGATCAAATTAAATATTTAAAGTCATAAATTGAGTGATTCTTTTTATTTTTTAGATTAGATTTTTCCACTATGGGGACTCTTCTCTCAAAATGTCTTCCATAATCTCTTGTCCTCAGTTATCCATGTTGTACCTTTTCCGTTACAGTGGTGAACAATCAACAGACATTTTGTTACAATAATAAATGACGTTTCTTTTTCACACCAGGATTGATTGAAGGAAATTCAAACTCGCAGTTTGCTTTCTTTTGACTGGATGCCACTGTATGTGTGTTTGGGGGTGATTTGTTCAAGAGAAAATCAGGAAATATAACGGCAAAGGGCATTTTGTTATATTGTACCCAAAATCTGTTCCCAGTGGGTGCATAAAAATGGACAGGCCGTTTTTTTAAAAAAGCAGATATGTTCTTTGATCATCCTGTGGAGAGAATCAGCAGTTGTGCTTACGTATCGGGGAATGTTTGAGGTTGATCAAGAAACATATGCCAAGACATTTGTGATAATAAGGGAAGCTATTCCCCTTTATCCCTCTCAAATCACCCCTTTCGTGTGCACCTGTCTATATGTGTGTTATGTGTGTATGTATAATCCATTCTGTTTTCTGTGTTCCAGAATTAGGATCTCCAAATCCAAGTTCAGGTTAGTACATGTTGTTTACCATAGTCTCTTAATTCACCTGCTCTAATGTCTCTAATGCTGTGCTATTTAATTGGTCGTTGGTGTTTTTGTGTGTGTTTGTACCTGTGTGTGTGTGTGTGTCGGGGGGTGTTTGTGTACAGATGTGCAAAAGGAACACAGGCAAACATACCCTTGCTCTTTGAAGAAACTGTTGCAAATATGTTGGTTCTTCTCTTGCAGAGTGTGATGAGAAGATCGTTGCCATGGTTATGTTTGTGCAGTAAAATAAATTTATGGTAACAATTATTTAAGCTTAGCACAGTAGTTATCAGACTGCAGAATAGCAGACAGGGGAAAAATATAGAGTGAATGAGATGAATTAAAATGGAAGATAAACAGACAAAAGTTTTGGTGGTAATGTTTAATCAGAAAAATAGATTATTTCTTGCTTGGTAGTGATGTGAACTTTTTTCTGTTTCTTAAATGGGGTATGTCAAATAAAGTTTAACATAAATACTGTAAACAGCCTCGTTCTGTCCTACCAACACATTTAAAGCAAAGTTGCCAGTAAATATGTTAGATTCGCCACTTATAAGCATTTGTGGAGAATAATTATGGAACATGCTCAAATGATTTTTTTATGTCTCATTACAGAAACAAAACACACATCACAGCTTCCACAAAATCTGCATACTGACTGTTTACTATTTGACTTCTATGGAAACCTAATATGTCCCTTTATTGTCCCTCTCACGTCTCAGTATCTAGATTAAATGCATACATAATACATTAAGACCACACTGGTTTCATTAAAGGTCAATACAGTGGTCCCGTGTTTATCGCGGGAGTTACGTTTCAAAAATAACCCGCAATAGGTGAAATCCACAAAGTTGCCAACTTTATTTTTTACAATTATTATAGATGTTTTAAGGCTGTAAAGCCCCTCACTACACACTTTACACACTTTTCTCAGACAGGCACGAACATTTTTACACTTTTTGTTCTTGTTTAAACACATTCAAAGTTCAAGCCTTCGTAGAAAAATACGTCTAGTATTATAGAATGAAACCAAGACACCCGCGGTTGCCTTTGACGGTGCAAAATGTTTCGTCGATATTGTTGTTTGTTGGGGAGAAAACTTACAAACATACAGTACAGCACTTCAGAGTCACACTGCTAGCGATTGAAGATTTATGCAAATTTGACAAGCTGAACGCATTCTGTACTGTACAGAAGACCCGCACGAGATTGATTGACAGTAGTCTACAGCCCATCAGGACGCAGAACACAATGCGCTGTCAAAAACACAAAAAACAAACAAACCACAAAAAACAACCCCAAAACCATGGAAAATTGCACAAACAAAAAAATCCGCGAAACAGCGAGGCCGCGAAAGGTGAACCGCGTTATAGCGAGAGACCAAATAATACACTTAGACTATTTAATTTACTTGCAAGAACAATAAGTTGTTGTTACAGTGATGGAGAAAAAGCTTTTGATAAGGTAAACTTTGGATTTGTTGAATCATTATAACTATATATACTATAACTTCTGTATGCCACACCATTAGCCACTGGCACTACGAATGGAATAATCTCACAAAATGACACACAAAACAGGGGTACTAGGCAAAGATGCCCATCACCATCAGTCTTCTTTTTTCTTTTTTAATTGAGCCACTCATAGCGCCTACAGTATCTGTCAAAATAAAAATATCATCTGAATCCCAACATCTAATAATAACCTCAAGATTAGTCTTTATGCAGATGACATTTAACTTTTCATGCAAAATCCATATTCACCAGTACTTGAAACAATTAGCATTATCAAGGAATTCTCAAAAATTTCCAACCATTCCATAAAATGGTCCAAATCCACTGATATCTCCATAGCTAGGATGGGACAACAAACTAACTATCCCTTTGTACACAAAGTATTTGACAAACACTAATGTTTCTTGAATTGGAGTCACGGACACGATAAAAAACTGTACACCTTCTAGCGTAACGATGCATGTCTGCTTGTGTTGTGTTGTGAGTGTGTCTCATGTAAAATTCAGTGTGAGCATCATGGCAGAAGCCAGTGTGTGCCATAAGTGACTATAAAAAGCACTCACGGACATTTAAACAGAAGACTGATGCAACATATATAGGCAGAGGGAGAAGATTCTCTGGTGGGCTGTGTTGATCTGTTTGAATTAGAGGAGTCACGATTGGATGAAAAATCCTCTTGCATGTTTACTGCGGTTGACAAATGGGTCAAGTACGCATAATGCAAAGACACCCACATGTGTACAAAATGATGACAAAGTGACTTACAGTGTTTATTTGGAGAAAAAAACAATTAATTGCTCGTTCTTTTTTTAAAGCAATTCATTACATAAATATATAATCAGTGTCTAGGCTATTGAAATTAAAAGATATACATGTGAAAATCTTAAGTGAAATTCATGCGTCACTACCTCTTCACCTGTAGGTACCTGTAAGACCACAAGCTGCTCTTCGTTAGTGTTTTTGATGTTACTTAACCAGAATAGGACAATTATGAAATTACAGTCGACACCTTATCAGTATATGAGCGTCGAAACACCCTTTGAGTGGAGTTTTTCACACAGATGTGACTACAAAGTTTAACGCTAGCAATTATCAGAAACAATGACTTTAATTTCCAACATGAGAGAGCATTCAAGGTGCAAAAGACCTGACCACAGCATAGAGGAAGATATTAAAATCACTAAATTAAAAAAAAAGGGTTGGCATCCTAAAATGAGCTACTTCTCTTTTTAAAGCATTGTTTTCCTTTGTGTTGTGAGTCACAATACAACATATTTCACTTTAAATTTGCCCCTTCGATCATTTTTAGAGCGCAAATGTTCTTTTTTTTTTCTCAAACGGTACATATCTCATGCTCCAGCACAGCTCTTTGTACTGGTTTCTCCTTTCTGTGAAACGCCTTTGAGGATGACTAACCCTCGACCACAGACCGAGGCGTGATGTCATCACTGTTTTGTAGAAAACCTAATTGACTCTTTCTTGTCCTTCTTCCACTTCCTCTATTTGTTTTTCACCATTCGCTTGTTTCTTTTGATTATTTTTCTTGGTTTATCTTATTGCTCGTGGGTCCTTTTCTCTTCCCTCATCTTTCCCTTTTCCCACCATTCTCTGTCCCATCCTCCTACCTCTCTTTTCTCTCCCACCTTTTCCCAACTTATTATTTCTGCTTCTTCCTTCTCAGCCGCTACTCCCGGAGGTGGAACAGGCTGTGTCGAAGGAAATGCCGGGCAGCAGTCAAATCACAAGTTTTCTATTGGCTGGTCATATTCCTGGTTTTCCTCAACACTCTGACCATTGCCTCTGAACATCACCAGCAGCCTCAGTGGCTAACTGATGTACAAGGTACATTGCTCAACCCACACACATGCACACAAAACAGTAATATGTCTGATCTGGGCTTAATTATTGACCTCTGTGCAATTGCTTTCTTTGGCATTATATTTGCATCCCACTCTAATTTTACTCCCCCTTTATTTCCCTCCCCAGACATAGCCAATAAGGTTTTGCTAGCGCTCTTTACTGGTGAGATGCTGTTGAAGATGTACAGTCTGGGCCTGCAGGTAAGACACTGTATCACTGTTTTGTGTTAACACTGACCACATTCTACCCTTTTTTCTACCTTTGACGTCTGCGTTTTGCTCCTCACAGGCCTACTTTGTTTCACTCTTCAATCGGTTCGACAGCTTCGTAGTATGTGGAGGGATCCTTGAAACCATTCTGGTGGAAACAAAAATCATGTCTCCTCTTGGCATCTCTGTGTTACGTTGTGTACGCTTACTCCGAATCTTCAAAATAACCAGGTTAGTGTAGACCTTAAAGCATATGCATTTGATAAGCAGAAGTTATTCCTTCAGTCCTCCAACAGGCAAGATACTCACACAGATACCTAATGCTATACTGAACATAAAGTAACAGCTTTTTAATAATAATAATGTATACTTTATTGATCCCCGTAGGCAAATTCCTCTCTGCATTTAACCCATTCACTCAGTGAAGCAGTGGGCAGCCATGGGCGCCCAGGGAGCAGTGTGTAGGCATGGTACCTTGCTCAAGGGTACCTCAGGGTAGCCGTTCAGTGGATTCGAACCCCCAATCTTCCAATCATGGGGCCACCACTCTCCCACTCTACCTACTGAGCTAACACTGCCCCGTTTTACAGTGTTTCTATACCAGTGGAGCCTTAATGTTGCATTCCGCAAAGCGGAAACAGAGGATGAAGAACTAACAGGTTACAATAGGTCTGTGATGCAATTACCAAAAACAACAAACAAACTTGGATTTTATTTTGCCACAGTAATCATTTGGTGAGAATTTCCTATTGTGACTAGTTTACATACACTCATTGACCGCTTCATTAGGTACACCTCATTATAATGGGTTGGATGCAGTTTTCCCTTGAGAACTGCTGTAATTCTTCAAAGCATAGATTCAACGCTATGCTGGAAACGTTCCTCAGAGGTTTTGGTCCATATTGACACGATAGCATTTGTCAGCTACACATCCCGTCCACCACATCCCAAACGAGCGCTATTGGATTGAGCTTTAGTGACTTTTGAGGCTAATCGAGTCCAGTTAACGTATTGTCAAGATTAGGAAAGCAGTGGGAAATGATTTGAGCTTTGTGACGTGGCGCCTTATCCTACTAGAAGCAGTCGTCAGAAGACACTGTGGTCATAAAGAGATGGACAGCAACAACAGCCAGGTATTGGACTGGATTCAAGGAAGGAAGGATCTATGCTTTCATGTTGTTTATGCCAAATGCTGACTCGACCACCTGAATGTCGCACCATAAATCAAAGCTCATCAGACCAGGCTGACACCAACAACCATGCCACATTCAGAGTCACTTAAGTCACTGCATTAATCAGTTTAACAGGTGTACCAAATACAGTCCAGTGATTGTATATTGGCTTTTTAGACTCATCAAGGTTTGGGAAGCATAGGGGTGAGGACCCAAATACAGGATTTCAGAAAGAAACCTTAATAACAAAGCAAAGTTTTCAATAGTAGCTTTCAATATATGTAAACTGGAGTAAAAATTAACAAGGTCTAAGAACAAAAGATCAGCACGACAAAACATGCAAAGGCTACACACAGAGAACACACTGTGACAAAGACTGGACTATTTATACACAAAGGGCTAATTAGGAAATGAATAACAGGAGGGTAACACACCCACACACAGGTAAAGACAATCATGATAATCAGGGAAAGACAGATTGGAAGCAAAACATACACAGGACGCATATTGAAAATAAAAAAAAACAACAGGGAGTAACCAAAATACTCACAGAGATACGACGGTCACATTAACATGAAGACAGAGACAAAGGAACTCTGGAGGGCAAACACATAAAACAGAAACACAGAACAGAGGGAAAAAACAATAAAGGAAACACTGAAAAGTTCAATCCTTCAACTGAAACACTAAATCATGAATCCAGGATGGCAAAACATAAACTTCTTAGCAGGAAACTCCGGCAGCACTGTTAAACTGAAACAGAAACGATCAGACTCCCTTCTAGTCACTTCTAAACTATAAAGAAATAAAAATAAAAATCCAACAGTCAACCTACCAAATATATTATAACAAGACTACCATTTCAACTAAATTTCTCTTCCTTTAGATATTGGAACTCTTTGTCCAACCTGGTGGCATCCCTGCTGAACTCTGTCCGCTCCATCGCTTCCCTGCTGCTCCTGCTGTTCCTCTTCATCATCATCTTCTCCCTGCTGGGCATGCAGCTGTTTGGGGGAAAATTCAACTTTGACGAGACCCGACGAAGCACGTTTGACAACTTCCCCCAGTCTCTGCTCACTGTGTTTCAGGTAATCATGCTCCACTTTTTCTCATGAAGTGTGTCCGGCCTCCATTGTCACCTTACATTTGTCCTTGAATGATACAAAAAGTGTAAATTTGATAATGTTGCTTAATTAAATGTAATCTGTCACTACCACAAGGCTGAGGCTTCTTTTAAATGAAAATACATTTTTAAAAGATTTCGTTTACTGTCTTCTGTCTCTACAGATCCTGACCGGAGAGGACTGGAACTCTGTGATGTATGATGGTATCATGGCGTACGGTGGTCCAGCTTTTCCTGGCATGCTAGTTTGCATCTACTTCATCATCCTCTTCATCTGTGGAAACTGTATCCTACCACAACAGGAGGTCCCCATTGTCACAAAGCACTTGCTCATAGGGAATCTTTTGGTTGTTCTAGATTGTTGCAGAGTCTTTCTATTATAATGTCAGGTCCTTTTAGATGTTGGTGCTATGTAAATACAAATACATGGAATAGCTACACCAGTAACCCAGGACATGCGGGCGTGATGCTTATACGTGTAGAATTTCAAAATAAAAACATGGTGCGTCAGATCCAGTAACTGACAGTCAAATTTGTTTTCTGACAATCTTTAATCCTGTCATCAAATGGATACTGGCGTTGCTGATTGTGATTTGAATCACTGAGTCACATCTGATATCTAACCCCTTGTTAAGATGCAGTTGCAGGGGAAAAGAACACATTTTGCATGCAGATGCTTTCCCAAAAGCTAAAAGATTTTAGTGCGGGCCACTGAGCGTCGGTACTTAAAAGTACAGAGTAGTTAAAAATGTGTTTTTCAGATTAAATTGTTACTATTCATCAGCTTAGCCTGTTGAATCCAAAGCCAGTGCAGGATTAGTCATTTGGCTTTGGAGT